TATGTTTGGGGGCAGTTCTTGCAAAAACAGTTATTGAGCCAATAACCGCCTTTAAATCATCACTTGACATAGCTTCAATATCTGCACCAGTTAGACAATTAGAATGATTTGCTGGATTTACTGGTATGCCTAACTTTCGTGCAATTGAAAGGGCCGTTTGATCTAATATAAAATAATGTTGCTATGTAAATAAAAGAAAAAAAAAAACAAAGTTAGAAAAGAGATCATCTAAAAATGGTTAATTACCAGAATCTCCTGTTATCATGACTACTTTGACACCACCACCAATTAACTGCTTTATAGCCTTCTCAACTCCTATATACACATTATTTAAAAACCATATAAATTATATACGCAATAGATAATAATATACAATAATATATAATAATAATATATAATAAACATATAATAATGAATATTATCTAATTATATTAACCTTTTCTTGGAGGATCATACATTGCAACACATCCTACAAAAGTAAGTTTGTTGTGATCAGACCCAGATGCCATAGCAAGGACTCGAAGACCAAGAGAAGACATTGCAGTAACATGTCGCATCACCGACTCTTTCGCTGGAACGTCCAATGGTGGTTTATGTGTTTCTGAAACATAATATGAAGTACATTTTCCTAATACAACTTCTATTGAACCTTTGAAATATATAATCTCTGACGATGAATTATCATTTTTTCTTCGACAAGTTACAGACATCCATTTTTGTTCAGAATTAAATGGAATTTCTGAAACTCGATCGTATCCCTATATTAAGTATGTTGATAATAATAATAATAATTATAATAATAATAATAATAAGGATTTATGACATTATAAGCAATATCAGACGTGAATATCAGATATGAATATCAGATATGAATATCAGATATGAATATGAATATCAGATGTGAATATCAGATATGAATATCAGATGTGATAAAAATAATAATATACCATGATTTCATCTTCCAGATTCATTTTTATAAGACAATCAAGTAATGCAACATCAGTAGCCTGCCCAAATTTTTTTCCTTCATCATCAATCTTTGCATTGTTACAAAGTCCTCCTATATAAAAATGATCAGAATTAATTTGATACAAATTGCAAAAAATTGACAAGACCAATATTTTATAATTAATGTTACCAACCAATTTTGAGAACTTCTCGCATTGCAACAGTTGTTTTAGAAGGCAAACCATGTTCCAAATCGAAAATTGTTTCTTCATCTAATGTAAAAATCTTTGTGACAGTCATAACATTTTCAGTCAATGTACCTAAATAATCGCAAAAAAAAAAAAAAATTTGTTAACTATAAATTAAAAAATAAATTCAATAAAGAGAATTGATCATAATACACCACTTACCGGTTTTATCTACGCAAATAACATTTACAGAACCCAAAGTTTCGACAGAAGGTAACTTTTTTATAATTGCATTTTTTCTAGCCATTCGTAAAACACCCAAACCTAAGGTTACAGCTACAACAATTGGAAGTCCTTCAGGAATAGCTGCAACGGCCAAACTGACTATGTTCGAAAATTAAAAAATAAAAATAAATAAAAATAAATAAATATATATAACTAACAAGAATTGAATTATATTATAAAAGAATTTTAATAACCTCCAATTGTAAACATCTCCAGCCATTGTCTCCCTTGTATAAGTCCAATAGTAACTATAACTGCAATAATGGCACCAGACAAGTAGGATAATTTTTTTCCAAGATCATTCATGCTAATTTGAAATGGAGTTTTTGGTGTTTCCGCCTATAACAAGAGTATTATATTAATAAATCACATGTTTTATAATTTAATCATAAAATGACAAAATTCCTTACCTCTTTTACTAGAGAAAATACAACACCATACTCAGTGTTATTTCCAGTTCCAACAACAATACCAGATCCATGACCTGAAAAAAAACCAAATCTAAGTATAAACTTAAAAAAAATGAAACTTTAATTAAATAAAACCAAAAAAAATTACCATTCCTAACAAGAGTTCCCATAAATGCAATATTTTTTCTTTCTTGAATTGATTCTACATAATTACTTTCTGAAATCATTACATCAATTGTCTTCTTTCTAGGTTTAGTTTCACCAGTCAAATTAGATTCATCAATTTCTAGGTTTACCGCCTGGCTTAAAAAGATTCAATTTAGCCAGAATTTCAATAATTCAATAAACTTTTTTTTAGAAAAATGGTAAAATAAAATGCCAACCGTTATTAATCTAACATCAGCAGGAACTCTGTCACCAACACCAAAACGGACCAAGTCTCCTGGCACCAATTCAGCAGCTGAAATTGTTGCTAAATGACCATCTCTATTAAAAAAAGAAATAGTATTAACATTAACTCTATCAATAGATATATATATATATATATATTGCGAAAAAAAATTTTCATTCAAATGTTTACCGGGTTAAATGACAGTGATGAGGTACTAATTTATTTAGTGCCTCGAGAGATTTTTCTGATCGATATTCCTGAACAAACCCGACTATTTATTGTACAGATCAATCAAGGTTAAAAGAAAATATAAAGATAAAAATCGAAATTTAAACAAATTTACCTGCTGTGACTATTGTAACTGCCTAATTTAATTAATCGAATTAATCGAATTAATCGAATTGAAACAGAATCATTAATATAAAAAAAAAATAAATCAGATAAATCAGATCAAATTAAACACATGAAATTGATACAAACCAGAAAGACTGAAAATGCATCTTTTTGATTTCCCATTATTAGTGAAACAACGGCAGAACAAAGAAGTAAAAGGATGAGTGGATTCTCCAGAAATTGTTTAAAGAATTTAATAACTGGATGGTCGCCTTCCTCAACTTCGAATTCATTATAACCACTTGTTTTCCTCTTCTCAACCGCCTGACTTGGATTAAGACCATTTTCTAAGTCACTATCTAATTCTTGAACAGTTTTGTCGACAGTATAACATGCGAAATATGCAGACGGTGTTAAAGAACACATTTTTTGATAAATATATTATTTAGGTTGTCAACTCCGACGTTTGGACGCACAATATCAATGTTGGGGGCTGTTACTAGAAAGGAAGAAAAATGTAAAATTGTAATGTTTATGCCTATATATAAACGTTTATGAAGATCACCTGCACAAATATAAATAAATCACTTAAAAAAATAGTTGTCGAATGCTTATTGATCTATTTAATCCATTTTTTTTCTTTTACGTTTTAGCGTTAGTATTTATACAGAACACCACATGTAAGATATTAATTTGTGATTCTACTACAAAACGTGGTGATACTAAAAGAGTATTTAATGGATTCAGTTATATTACACAAAATCTATTCAAATTTATTATTTATCAAAAGAAAGCTATTGTAGTACCTTTTTTAGATTAACAATCATTTTAACTCTTAATGCAAATACTTTTCTTGTTCTTTTGCAAAGCCTTTCTTCTGCTGACAATGACACCTCCAAATAAATGCAACTAATTTTAAGCCACTAATAAATCTTTTTTTTTTTTTTTATAAATTCTTACCGTCATATATGAAACAGTCCAAAAGGTACGTATGTACGTATGTACTTTATACCTTTCTTAAGATTTTCTACCAACTTCAGGGTTTAACCACTTGTTTACAATTATTTGGTTATAACTGTTTATTATGCATATTACGTTTTATTATTTTTAAGAAAAAGCACATACGCATAAGTCCGAAGCGGCATGTGCATATCATCACGGGAATCTTCATTTCTCGTTTTTTTATTGGTTGTTGACAAACATTGCATGAACGTGCATCAAAACATATGGATCCTCGCTATGCTTCGGACTTTATACTATTCTATAATATACTATTTCACTAATAAAAGAGAAATAACAAAAATGGATAAACTATTAAGCTATGCATTTCCTATTGCTAGAACAGTGACATGCTGCATTTTTAACACACTGTTTCATGAATATAAGTCTAGTTCAACATTTTAGTAAGACTCATAATTGTCTAAGTACACAAGTAAAAATAATATATACCGATATATATACTTACATGAAGATGCGCCAATAGTGATTTTTTTTAGTGAATTTTTTTTTTAAATTCTGAAATAAAAAAAAAACCAAATCTGGTAAAAACTTTACTGTAACTCAGAATTAATTAAAAAAAAAAGTAAATTTCATAAATGATTTTTTTGTTTAACACTAAAAAAAAATTTGCTTGGTTTCTATTGACTCTCCCCAATACAATTATCAATTATAGGAATTTGGCCAAGACATTGAACGGAACATGCCAGAAAAACTTTAGAAATCAAAAAAAAATATACGTACATACAACATTGATCTCATGTGAATAAATTAATCCTTAAATGGATTAAAAAAAACTAGACTGCCAAGTTAAAGGCTTGAAGCCAAGTAGTGTTTAACATAACCAGCCCCAAACATCTGGTTAACTTTGTCGCCACGAATTATTATTTACTCACAGGGCTGAGAACCTATTTTTACATAATATGTAATTGGGTCAAGTAAGTCCAAAATCAAGTCGAGTTAGACCTAGTTTTACAATTTTGCGAATGTTCAAATATCGATATATAGATTTAAAGATTCTAATTAAAGCAAATATACATATATTAATTTATTTTACCGTTATATACTCTGCATCATGTACATGCATACTAATCAGACGGGGTCGAGTCTCTGGATAAACCTGTTCGATTAAGATTGAGAAACCACATACCGATACTAACACTAACACTAAATTATACTAAAACCAAGCATATTAAATTGTCCAATACAACAATAAATGCAATATGGTATTGTTGCACTGATCTTATACTGCAGTAGCGGTAATACTGTAATAGCGATTATTATTGTATCACTATCGCTACGTAGAAAATAGGAAAATTAGGGTTATCGTTATTTGTTAGATCGATATAGTGTTTCTAATATAGCCAATCAATATTTAATGCGGTAAACCGCATCGACATACAGTAACTAATAAAACAACAAAGCACTACGTAAAGTTTTACATTATGGCAAAAAAAAACTATACGTATATGTATTAATTTTACTATAAATACTAATAATTTTTACATTTTTATAAAACTTTGATTAAAAACATCTCGACATTTATCTAATCAAATTTGATAATCTTTTTTTTTAATATATACGTATCAATAATTTAAAATAAAAGATCATCAAATTTGATTATTAAAGTTTTAAAACAAACCTTTATATAGTTATATATTTAATAATCGATATAATAAATTTTTTTGTTTAAAACATATAAATCTATACAATTATTAAAAAAAAACATTAATTTAATAAGTATCAAAGATCATACCACTAGTGCTAGTACAAATTTTAGAAAATTGGTTTGGAAGCTTAAAGCCAATCAAAATATTATAGTTAAAATTAGATAAAATATATAAATTGATTTTATATAGCAAAACAAAGAATTTTTTAAAAAATAATTATATTTTAAATTTTTGTTTATAAAATAATAGATTTTAAAATTATTTTTTTTACTAATTTTTTAAATTAACAATTTTAAAATAATAATTTACAAAAAATAATATCTGATATAGTTATTATATTTGTATTTTATAAATTTTTTTTAATAATTTTATTTTTATTATATTTAATTTTTTTTAGTTTAGTAATTTTATCTTTATTGTTAAATTAATAACAATATAAAATAAGATTTTATTTGGCTAAACTTAAATATTTAAATTATTAACTGTTTTTATCTGTATAAATAAAGATTTATTTAACCTATTTTTTTTTTTTTTTTTTTTTTTTTAAGGTGAGGTTTTGTCTTTATCTTTATTAATAATTTGTGTTGAGAATTCACTAGGAGTTTCTCTGGTCTATAAGACCAATAATTACAAATTTTTTACAAGAATGAGACTCAGACTATAGATATTTAACTATCTAATTTATCTGCAATCTAAACCTACTAAAGTGGTTAAAAACTTACCTAGATTCTATAATATATAATATTATTAGTAGATGAACTATATTTTATCCAAGTAGTTAACCATGTTGAGGCTTTTTTAATTGCTTTTCCGAGTGGTAGACAGTCATTGTCTATGTGTTGTTGATCGGCAAACCACAGCAGCAGCTATAGGTGTATGGTATTCTTGGTCGTAAGTTGTTGGAAGTAGATATAATGTTTTGTCTTGTTTGGTTTCTATTAATATATGTGGGTATATTGTATTGTTGCTTCCAGTTCGATAATTTAGCACAGTATAGTTTTCAGATTAGGTTATATATATTTTAAGATAATTGTATAAGTAATAAGATAATAGTGTTTGTTGCTGTCTTATTAAAGTCTATATATTTTCTAATGGTTTGTATAAGTGCAGTGGATATAAATCCTTGTATAGTTGTTCAAATATTTGTGTTGTTCCTGGTGTAATTATTAAGTGATAGACTAGGGTAGTAAGTAAGTTTATAGTATAGCTCTTAGCGTTAAGTATTTGTTATATCAAGTTTTGAAGATTGCAGAAATTGTTGTATTGTATTAGTAATAATTGTGTTAAGGTTAGTTGAGTTTGAACATACAAGCCAATGCATCTGACTTTCATGTGAATTACATGAGATACAGTTGATATCTGGAAAATATTGAGAATATAATATATATAGATTTGATAGTGTAGATAGTAAGTTGAACATGAGTTTGATTTTGAAAGTTTTTTCTTGGCAAAGTTTATTTAACCTATTTTATTATTATAGTAAACTATTATTTATAGTATTGTAATATAGACAAATTTTTATTAACATTTCTCTTATATTTTTCTTTAAATTTTATTATATATTTTATATATTTATTATATATTTTATCATTTTATTAGTTTATTTATATAGTTTATAGTATATTTTATCTATTTTAGATGTTTATACAATAGTTTATAATATATTTTATTAGTATACTTTTTACAGAATTCTATTTAAAGCAATATTTGCTTTAATATTTAAATTATTAGTTTATTTAATGTAACAGTATACAGAACAAGGCTATACAAATAACATAAGCACATGTAGTGCCCCAGGATGTCCTAGGATTTTTAGAACAATATATTAATAGTTATTTAATTATATTACTAAGTTTAGAAATAATAGCATTATTATTTAGTTTATAGTGTTATCTTATATCATTATTATATAATATTATTAGATAGTGTTATTAGACGATATTATTTTATGTCATTATCATTAGTATAACTATTTTTAGTATTAGTATAGTATTAAATAATAGTTTTAGTATTATTGCAATAATTTGCAATGATTTACATTAGTAATATAATTATTTATAGCATTATTTCCTAGCATTATTTTATATCGTTATTATATAGCATTATCGAAAGATATATAAACCTTATATTTTTCCAAGATAGAGAAATATCAATGTATGCTTCACAATTATTTCTTTGAATATTTACATCACTTCTGGGTATATTTGACTCTTCTCTTTGTTTATTTTCTTGTATAAAATCCTCTTTAATTTGTATTTTCTTAATAAACTATAATTCTATAATATTTTTATAGTGGGTTTATTGATATTTTAGATTTATACTGTAATGTAACAAGTTAGACTTTTGGTTAACAAGTTATCTTACTTAACTAAGTATACAAGTAGTTAAGAAAAGTGTTTATATAATTTATAGAAGAAAATAGTTTTTAAATAAAATAAAATATTGTCAACTTATTGTTATGATAATACTCACAAAGAAAATGTTATAACTAACAAAATTTATAGACAAAAGATAGATTTATTAACTCAGATAATACTCAAAAGAATAACCCAGATAAAACAAATATATAACTCAATAAAATACTCAAATAATACTCAAATAATAGCTTATATAAAGCAAAAATATAACTTAATAAAATACTAAAAAAATAATACAGATAAAACAAATATATAACTCAAGAAAAATATAATAGTTTCCAGAAAAATATCACAGAAAAGGGACTTATTCTCAACAAAAATTATATAAAAATACTAAAAATAGAATTTATTCCTAATACAAAACTATAACAAAATAAAAATGTAACCTATTCTCAAGACCAAAGTATATAATAACAAGGTTACACAGGTCAAAATTATACACATCGGTATAATATCTGGTACCTGATATATATAATATATATCTACGATTTGTACCTGATATGTGTAAGATATATTCATACATATACCTGATATGTGTAGAGTTTATGTAAGATATCGGACACATGTCAGACATATGTAACACATATATCCTATATATATTGGGTATATATCGCACATATAAATTCTGTAATATATCATATACCCGATATAAATAGTAAACAAATATTGTACACATATCGGGCATATATCATATATATGATTTTACAATATATTACATACGTACACTATATAAAAATTTTAATTCGATCCAAATTTTTTTTAAAAAATCAAATTTTATTTAAAAAACTTTTTTTTGAAATCAATTACAATAAATATAAACTCTAACTAATAATTAAAATTAAAATTCTATTTAATTGCAAAAAACTATTTTCTAGTTTTAGCCAAATTATATTAATCATAAGGTCAAAATTATTAATGCTAGTTGAATTAAATATTGTATTTGCGTGTAATAATGCAGAAGTGCATTATTTTAAAATTTCTATTTTTTTTTTGATTCAAAATAACGTATAGCTACTTACATAAAGCTAATTTCAATCTATTATTGTGATTTGTAGATTTTGTAGATTAGCCAAAAAACAAATAACAATCTAGCAAAGTTTTATACCTCATTTTTGCTGATTTCTAATAAATATGTGATAAATATCTTATTTTTGTTGATTTGAAATAATAAAGGTGTGTCTATGCCTTATATACGTTGACTTCTAATCATAAATACATTCATATCCAGTGTTAAAATTTGATTTTGTTTAATAAGAAAAAGCTTTATAATTTTGTAGACAACAATAAAAACTCAAAAAAAAAAAAGATTTTACTTGCAGAATTAATTTTTAATCTGCACTTCACGGATCCTGCATATGTCAAACTCTGTCAAACACATTTGACCTTTTTCTGTGGAATTTTGTCATAGTAATGCATCATAAGAATCGATCATTTGGTTCAATTACTCTTTGCCTATATCATTTTAGTATCAAATCAATATAGTATTAATATATTACTAGGTAAGTAGAAGACATTTAAAGTCCAAAGGAATTTGATTGGATAATTAAACTAAGAAATCAGTCTGATTAACTAATCAAAATCAGCAATTTGCAAAATTCTGCTCTATGCCTCTGTTTATAATGTCCTTCAGACAATAATATATAATAACAAACTATATAATAGTCTCAAGATCAATGTCTAGTTGCTAATCTCTTCAGGAGTTAAATCATTAGGATCGGTCTTATCAATTCCAAGCTTTTGTAATCACTTCAACATCACAGAGGCAAAGACATGAATACCATTTTTAGCTGGACATAAGCGATTGAAAAGAGCCTAAATAATGGAATATATAAATATTAAAAAAGAAAAAGGTAAATTGTCAAATTCAATACACAAATTAATTTTTATATTACGTTATCTGTCTAGATATTTTCATGAAACATCTGTGCGTCAATTGCAGCGATTAAGAAATAATTAGAATTCGTTAAATTTAGTTGCAAAATAGACATGGGTAGCATAAGCATAAAACTACCTGACAAGTTGTTTGCTGCGGTAACAGCATGTATATCTCCTGTTAAATGTAAATTGAATTCGTTGACTTGAGCATATCCACCACCAGCTGCTCCTCCTTTGATGCCAAATGTCGGTTCTTGTGAAGGTTGCCTAACACATGCGAATGAAAGCTTTCCCAAGTGCGCACCAATGCTTGTTCTATACCAATGGTAGTTGTAGATTTGCTTTCACCTGGTATTGGCATTATTCTACAAACATTTCAATAATATAATTAATGATATTAACAACTAAACTTTATAAAGTGAGATAACTTGCAATTTCCAAACACATACCCTGTTACAACAGCATATTTGCGATTTCAATCTTTCAATAAATGAAAGACTTACTTTGGTTTTGTATTGCCCATATAAGGCAAACTAAAAAAAGACCAATTTAATACATAATTACAATACGAGTTATTTTTTAATATAATAAAAGCCTTACCTCATTCAGGGTCAGTCTCAATTCTTCAGCCAGAACATTAATATGTTTAGGTGTTTGTAAAGTTGCAATATTGATATCGCTTGAAACAGGTTTCAAGGGCAACGTAGATATCTTACGTTCGTTACTTTCTTTTAGAAACCTTTTAGCACTTTCTACTGTGTTTTGTAACAACATTGCAACTGTCATCGGACCTACACCACCAGAAACGTTACTACAGAGGCGGATGAAAATTATACATCACCTACCTATCGAATGACTGATTTTTTTTTGAATCTAATAAATAGATGAATAATTAGTCAACAAGTCAACAAGTCAGATAATTATAGAGAACAGATTTTTAACTACCTATGATCGCATTGGTTCTAACATCAATGACTACTGCACCAGAACTTATCCAATCGCCCTTTATGAACTCTGCTTTTCCAATAGCCACCACTAGGATTTCAGCTGTTTTGATCTAGAGATTAAAGATTTTGACTATTGTCAATGATAAATAAACAGAAATAATTTTTGATACACAAAAGAAAGATGCATACAATCTCAGGAAGGTTTGCCATCATTGAATGACACAATGTAACCGTAACATAGGAGTGTAAACATGGGAAATCTCTATGAATGCAAATATTTAAAAAGGATCATGAAATGTTCTGCTATATATAAACTGTAATAGCAAAAAAATAATGTTTACCACTACAGCCGACCACAATGGTGCGCTTACTTTGAATAAATATCTAACACCTTATCTTTGCCAATTTCTCTTAACAAATGAATGCATTATGTTCGTCTTTTTCAACCTTGATTCTATTTCGATAAGGTCAACAGTGTACATTCCACTGATGCTTCCATCTTTGCTGACTTTTGATAATAAATAAATGTGAAAACGAAATCGAAAAATATGCTCAAAAAAAAAAAATAATAATGAATAAATAATTAAAATAATTAAAAAAAGGCTTGCTATACAATGGTATAAACGGAAAAGGAATAATAGCCCTGACCATATCCAGAATCCTTTTGGTAATTTCACTTGCATATTGTCATCAATGTCCTTATTAATTAAAGATTAGTGTTTAGATAATGTTGAGGCAGCATTATGGGTTAATCACAGGTTGTAATATTAACATTCCCATTATAGCTAAGCATTGTTATAAAAAACTACACCAAGATTCTTTTAAGAAACCCTGTCAGGAACAGTACGTATATCATTTTTTTTTCTATACCATAAGAAATAATACCGACGATTCATCAGGAACGGTATTTTCTGTACAAACTTAAAAATATATATAAATATATTAGTAAAGCTAAAAGAATTAAACAAAAAAAAAAAAAAAAAAAAAAAACTGATATTTAGCAATAGTAGCTTCTGATTTCTTTTTTTTTGACTTAATTTTATAAATACCATATAAACTCAGAATAATACCCAAAGGCGTTATTTTGGTAGATAAAGAAAAAAAAAATTCCAAACTTCTGTATAGGTCCATGACAAATTACCACTTTATTTTGCTAATTATGAAAAATGTAATACATGTAAAAAAAATAATTATACAGTATTACTTTCTATATTTTTTTGATTTTTTCTTTTTTTCTTTTTTTTATTTGATCGCTTCTTTGATTCCTTTCCTTTCACATTTTTCTTCTTTGTATCTTTATTCGTATCACTATTATCATCACTATCATGATTATTATCACCTTCATTATCATTGTCTTCATTGCTTTTTTCTGTTGTTTCTAAATTATAGATTGGAATATTCTCAACAGGAAAGTTAAATTTCTTAAGAGCTTCATTAGTTAGACACCAAGTAGAAGCGCCAATAGGTGGAGAACCGGTTTGCTGAATATATCTTTGACTTGTAATTCTCAATCTTCTTACAGCTGGCTGTTTTTTTGCGTAATAACTCAACAATTGAATCAATTCGATTATGTAATAAATTTAAAAGCTTATACGTAAAAAAAAAAAATAATTATTATATAAATTAATGTCCAAATATTTGATACAAGCCACTCTCATTATAGTAAAGTGATCGGGCTGTGAAATTTCCTTCACTATATCGAGAATCTCTTTGTAAATTCACAACATTGAGATGGTTTTTATATAAACTGTTCTTCATTATTACGAAAGGTTCACTATATCAAGAGTTCACTATAAAGAGAGTGACTTGTATTTAAAACTATACATAATACAGCTAAAGCTCAAAATAGTAAAGTAAATATTTAAATATCAGATTTGCTATATATATCAAATATTCACTATATAGAAATTTGTTAACCTGAACTTTAACTGTAGTAGAAGATATACTTACAGCTTTAGATCACTACCATTTATTATAAATGTATATAGATGTTTTTTTTTGATAATTATCATCATCGGAATCTGTTTCTTCCCACTCTTCTGAATGATATCCACTGTCTTTTAATATTGTCACCAAATCTCTTTGTGGATACTTTATAATATGAGGATCCTTCATAGCAAGTAAATAATCTACAGCAGTTACTCTTCTTTGTCTTTTCTAATAAATAATTCAATTTAAATAAAAAATATAAACTCTAAAATTATACTATATACTGATACTTACTTCTCGTACCATTGAATTTTTTGCTTTTCTTCGTCGGTTTTTTTCATATTGCTCATCACCTTGCTTTTTAATATTATATTCATGATGACGTGCACGCCACCTTCCATACAACATTTTAAGAAGTTCCTGTTGTGATACATTATATTTTTTGTCAACTTTTTTACATAAAGCAGGAAGTAATTGAGTCATAATAGCGCTTTTTTGATCAACCCAGGTGATCTTTTCATCAATACAGTAAATATCCTTAAGATCAGAATCACACCAAATGAATACTTCTTTCTGTAAAAAATATTTAATAAAAGTAAATATTAAAATATATACGAAAAAAAATACAAAATAAAGAAAATACTTTCTTTAATTTGTTGATAAGACTTGGAATCTAAATATTCTATTGTTTTTTTTGTTTTCAAGGAAACGGACAGTAAAGATGAAGAGGAGGAAGAGCTACTAGTAGATGTCTCGCTTTCACGATCACTCTCACTTTCAGATGTTTCATTTTACCTATTTCTTTTTTTATTTTTCATTCCTATAATTACAAAAATATAAAGAAATAAGTTTCTTATTAAGTGCTAAAAGTCTAAAAACAAGCACAAATATGATTCTATGTTATACCTCTTAAAGCAATAAAATGATTGCAAAGAACTTGGTATTCGAGGCATATTATTTATACCAAGAAAAAATGAAAGTTCTTGATTATTTCATGTTATACTGCCAAAAAAAATATTCTCGTGGCCCAACAACCTCGTGTCAAACGAAGTGAAAAAAAAAACAAAAAAAAATACTATTTATCAAAATGAACTATTTTTTAGAAAATTTGTTTATGTTATACAACAAGAAGAGGAGCCCGACAACTTCATATTAAAAAAAAAAAAAGTACTATCAGAAACTACAAAAAAAAAAGTATTCTGGTAGACCTAATATTTAATTAACGAAGCACAACAAAAGGAAAGAAAAAAGAATAGCATTTATCATTGTCAGAAAAGTTTATCTATATTTCACAAGATGTTTAACTAGCATCTGGTACCCGATAGCTGTAAATGAGTAATACAAATAGTAGATCACAATTGTATATATTGATATATTTTATATAAATAAACTTCTGTTAAATTTTTGTGAGGTCAAATAATAATTTAATATATAACTATACTATTTTATGTGTAATATGCTAGTTTTATATACTCAAATGCAATTTTTGTAATATATTCCATTCAGAAACCCCAGGCAACTATTAATATTACATATTAAAACTGGTGAGTAGGGTTCCTCAAAATCAAATCAAATCAAATATTAGACTTATTTGAATTTGATTTGATTTGAAAATCTGGATTTGAA